AATATAGTAGTTTCTGACTATTATGGCAGAGTTCATAATTTTGTCTCTTATTCTATTTTATTTGATTATTTTGAAAAATATTTTATATAAGTTCGAATTTTAATATATTTTTAAAGTATCATAAAAATTTTTTAAAAGAAATAAGATAATTTTTTCGAAGTGCTTTTATTTTTGAAATTAAGATTGTTACTCGTATATTGAGCATTTTAACACTATTCACTCATTTAATTCTCTGACATTGAAACAATTTCATTTCACAAAATATTGTAATTTCTACTTTGATTTTGGATTACTATATATTTTCCTTTATACCTTTCCTATAAATGTTAACAAATTTTCGAAAAATTGCAATCAGGTGCATTTCATGCCAAATTTAAATCTCTTCTTTAACTCATAATTATTATAGAGCTTAAATGTATACCAATATACAAAAACCCTTTTTATAGTTTTACAATTATATTCACAAAGACGTACGAATTTTAAAGCAAGAAAAAAAAATAATTCTTTCATTTAGAAAGCATTTTACTAGTTTTAATAGTTATTTTTATTTCTTTGTATTATATGCAAAATGTCAATAGCAGTTACGATTAAATAATAAAGAGTTGTAAAGAGTACATAGCAGGTAGCTACATATATATATACCATTTCAAAAATAATATTATAAACTTGAAAAGGAAAATAAAAAAAAAATAAAACTAGGATAAAAAAATTTGTTTTATATGGTTACTGATTTTCTCTTTTTCCTATTAATGGAAAATTTTGTTAGAGCCTACGATATACATTGAAGAGAATAATGTTATGTAGTTAGGTAAACAGAATAAAGAAAATAAAACCAAAAAAATAAAATTTAAATTATAAAACTGTATTTATTTAATTTGGTTAAACAACAAGAACAGAAATAATTTTTCAGTTTACTTGTTTTTGGTTTATTGTGTATGGATGCAATGCTAACACTTTTGCTTTACTTTATGTTCTTGCTATTATAAAGGCATTTTTTTTTTTTTGTTATCCTATATATGAACGCAAATTGGTATTTTACACAAAATTTTTCAATCTATTAAAAAACTAGCTGTATATAGTTTCTATATAATGCAAAATTTTTAATACCAAGTGCATGTTTACGAGTGCAATACAATGTTTTTTTTACATATTTATAGGCATTTTTAAAAAACCTATGACAATTTTATATAAAATGCGGTATAAATGAGATTGAATATGATGTGAAAATTCTGATTGCTGTTTAATTGTACTACGGTATTTTCTTTTTTTTTTTTTTCTTAAATGACATGAAAGTATACGTTTTTTTCTAAAATTTTTTTTTTAGAAATTTAATTGTATTTCAATGCTTTAATACTTCACATGTATATTTTAATTTTGTTTTTTTTTTTTTGCATGTTTTTTTTGTTTTTCAATATCTTGGGGTAATTTTAACAATTTCTAATTTATTTATACATGTTTTTTGTATTGTTTTGTACTCTGAAATTCGTTTGTACGCTTAAAAAACTCTTCTTTTTCTGTATACGAAGTGTTATACACGTATAGGTATTTGTATAAAGTATATGTATATGTAATGATAAGGGAATATTGTATATTGAAATACACAACATAAAAAAAAAAAAAAATAATTCTGTTCATTATTTACCTATTGTTAATTATTCTGTTGATTGTGTTTTTAACACGCTTCAAATAATTGCTCTAGCTACTGTAATTCTATATATGTACATAATACATACATGTATATACGTATATTATAAAACAATTTTATAATTTCAACATTTTTCAACCAGAGATGAATATTGTAAAGAAAAGTAGTTATTTTGTGTTTACATTTTTCTGTTTTTGCATATTTTCATAGTTTGAATTTTTTTTTTTTTTGTTTTCCCAAAAAAAGAGAAGAAAATGAAAAGGGAAGAAATATGAACAAAAATTTTCATTGTTATATATGTATATATATATGGTATTATTATATTGGAGGAAAAATATTTACGCTTCATGAAGCTTAAATTGAAAACTTTATTTTTCTGGGTTTTTCTTTTAGCAAAATGACGAGTATAACTAGGTATTTTTAATTTTAAATAAGAAACAGCAATCAGACATGAATGTGAAATTAATTATGTACATATTTCATTTTGTTTTTTTTTTTTTTTTAAATTGTTTTTATTTTAATTTGCTGTACAGCTACACGGTATGTAGAGTATACATTGAAATAACGTATATGGTTTAATGAATAATAACATACAAAAACACTTTAATAACAGACTAACAATTTTTTAAACAATTTTGGGAATTTTTTAAGATATATAGATGCATATATATATATATATATATATATATTAACTCTTATATAAGCTGCATAAATGTACAACTTGACTTAATGAAAAAACTTAACAAAAATACTTAAAAATTTTTTAAAGTTTTATGAATTAAGAAAAATTTCATTTGTAATTTGATTTTGAAAATTAAGTATTTTAACAAACTTAAGTTGCACAAATTCATAAATTTTTTTTAGAAAATTCTTCTTAATTTTATTAATTTGATTTACAACCGAACTGAAAACTTTCATTATAAACATTTCTATGGATTAGAGAATTTCAAAATTACATCTAATAAATTTTTTCATCACACCTTCTCTAACTATATAAGTTTTTTTTTTTATCTATTTGGAAAATAATTTGCAAATAGTGTGTCGTTTACATTTCCTGTTTCCTATGCTTTGATGAATTTCGATTTTTTGCCGATATTTTTTAATCAAATATTTGAATATAAACAAAATATTTATTTTATTTTATATTTTTTTTTGTCAAATATTTGAATTATTCATTTCGCCTTTCGCATGAGTTCAAATTATAAATGAATTTTATTTAAATATTTTGCAATATTTTTTATATTATTATAGAATAACGTACAGCATAAAATTGAATATCAAATAAAATGCAAGATAGTATAATATAATTATAAATATTAATGAAAGTTTCAAATAAATATTCCAAAAAATGAAAAACGAATAGAAAAGGCAATGAAATTATTTTTAATAAAAAACTTAAATTTCTTTTCTTTTTCATTAAAAAAAATATTTTTTTTTTTAGGGATTTAAATGTATATAAATACAAAAAAATTCAATTTAATTTCTCGAATGCTCTATTTACTTTGTTTACTTATAATTCAAAGGTTTTATTTATTTGTCAAAATTTAAAATATTATTTTGCTCTTTTAAAATTTTTCAATGCTTGACGCAAATTAAATTTTATGCGATTCCTTAAAATAAGTAATTCAAACAAAGACCCAAATGATTTTAATTTCAAACCAGTCATGGTTGAATTCATAACAGAACCATGATTCATAACAGAATCATGAGAGAAAGGTCAAATTTCAATGCTATTAAAATTGATTTGTCAGCCACTTACCAGGGCTTTCAAGCTTTTCTTGTCATAAAGCATGACATATTCCTTTTGTAAAATTTTAGTTAAATGCAAAAAACAATTAAGTACAAATAGAAATTCTATATTAAGAATTTTTCAAGCATCAATATTTTGTATGTAATTCATTAAGTTATAGTGTATGGAATACTGTCCCGTTCAACATACTGTTCGCTTTCTATTTTATAAAATATTTTGTTTAAATAATTTAGGAAAAATTGTATTAAAAAAATTATTAAATTTTTAATTGATTTTCAAAAAAAACAAAGAACTGAAAATGGCTTTAAAAATTGCATAGTTTTTTTTTTTTTTAAATAATAATTTCATTTATGTAGAAAATAACAAAATAGAAACATATGGGAGTTTTTTTTTTTACAATTTTAAATCCTGTAGAACATCTCCTAATAATTATTACATCAGCTTTATTTTCGACATTTTCTTTTTATCTTTTATTTAATTTCCATTGTTTTGTTTTTTTTTTTTTAATAATAATAATAAAATACAATAAAATTCACAGGGCCTATGAAAGCATTTAATTTAATATCCAAACATGAAACAATTACATACTTTACATATATAAACATTGTAATCTGATTATAAAATTTTATATTGTAATTTTTTTTTTTTTTCGTTTTAATTTTTATTAATAGTGAAAATAAAGAATTAAAATAATAATATTATAAAAACTGTTAAAATAGAATTGGAAAATTATTGGTAAAATTGATTATTTACAAAAAAAAAAAAAAAAATAATAATAAAAAAAAATTAACATTGATTTATTAAGCAGAGAAAAGCCAGTAATAAAGCAATTTTTAAATGACCGCAACACAACTGCTTCTGGCTGACTGGTTAATTGGTACAATGCGTAATAATATCTGTAAAAAATAATTGTAAAATGCAATAATCATAATAATAGTAATACAAAAAAAAAACAAAAAAAATTAATAATCATAATAATGATGAAAAATTTTTGATAAGAGATTTTCATTCGCATTAAATTAATTGCTATTGCTTTTATTAATATTGTTGAATTGATGATGACGGCAATAATGATTATTATTGTATTATAGTGATAATAATTGTGAGAGTGATAATATTATTTCAATTTTTTTTTTTTGTTTTTTTTTTCATTTTTATTGACAGTAACATTTCATATTTGTTCACACTAAAATACATTACAAAACATATACGTATATGTATGTATGCAAATCGATATATATATGAAGATGTTTCTGATATTAAAGTTAATCAAACTCAGTGAATAATTTGGATTACGTATAATTTAAGTGAAAGTATACTTAATGCAAAATATAAATTTTACCTACATTATTTTAAGAATATCCTTGCTGTCGCTTTATGAGAAAAAATAAAACAACTGTTCCAGAGTAAAATAATGCATAGTTTGTAAATGAAGCTTTGTTTTGTTGGAATCGTATAGGAGTAAAAATTCTTGTTATTTAAAAATAATGATTTGAAAATAATTTTTTTTTTAATATTTTTAAAAAATATATATATATAAAATTGATATCTTTTTCTTTTATAATATTTTTAATGAATTTTTTTTTTTTTTCAATATATTTATAGATCCTCCAGGGCCTCCATATATTGAAGGTTATACACAAGGTGAAACTTTAAGAAGAGGACAACAGGTAGAATTAGTATGCCGAAGTCGAGGTGGTAATCCACCAGCTCAATTAATTTGGTATCAAAATAAAACTCAAGTACGAATGGCGTATAGGTAAGTGATATACTATAAATTATATTAAAATTTTATGCTAGCTGTTGAATTCATTATATTATAACTACTTATTTTCTAACGTATTAAATTGACAATAATGATTCTTGTATTGTATTATTATTGATTGATTGGTTAACGTTGCCGGTGCAGTAGATCCACCCCACAAATTAGCAAAAATGCACCATTTTACTACCACTATTATGTGAATACCAGGTAACTTGAGAAATCCATCTTATCTTCGATATCTCCCCAGAGCCGTACACTGACAGAGATAGTGAAAAATGGTCTTGTTCTTATATTATATCTCCTATCAGTTGGACACGTTGTGCCAAAAGGCAATCACATCCTAACCCAGGCTCCTCCAACGGCCAATGCCTCTTGTAGACTCCGCTATATTCCTGTGAGAAATTGTCAGAAGCCCATCCGATTTCCTAAGGTCCTATTTTTTCTCACCTAGTGAGTAAATAAATGATAGAAACATGCGAGAAACAAATTTGTGTCACACTTCATAAACAATAGTGTATAACAATATTATAAACAGGCAAACAAATAATAAAATGAAATTAGATTTCTGTCCTTTTTTTTGCATTTTTATAAATAACTTTTATAAATTTGAACGATTTCACCGTAAATTATAAAATATTTGAAATTGGATATACTTACCTATATTACGTAATTAATTCAATTTTTAAAATAAATTGCATGATTGTTATCCAAAATGAATTTTAATTTAATTTTTTATTTGTATTCTAATATTTTTCTTTTTCACATATAAATTAGACATACAATTCTAATCTAATTTTATACAAAAATAATTTAAAAATTGCCCTAAAGCTTTATAAAAGTAACTCTAATAAATAATTGATATTCAAAATAATAATTCAATATTTATGATTTTTATTATTGTATTTATTTAATTTTTTTTCAAAATTATAAAATTTATGTTACACGCTTATCAGAAATGTTCATTTCATGTTCTAATAAAATTTTATAATTTGATAAAAATTATAATAGCACATAATTTTATTGGCAGGTAATCTATTAAGAGAAAAAAAAAATTAGAATAATTAAAACATAATATTATAATTTTTATAAAAGAGAAATCAACAAATTACATTTTGTTGGGGTCTACCAGGTAACCGGAATAACCCGGAATACCCAGTATGTAGTATAACATCATTTGGTATCTATTTTGAAAATCACTCCTACAACACAAATATTGTATAGAATTTAATTGTGATTTGATTTTTTAAAATAAATTGATAGCACAAGGAAAAGTGATAATAGAAGTGATGATTTAACCAGCTTTGTGAAAAGATTAATAACTTAATTCGACTGAATTTCTTTTTATTACAAAAGGATTCTTAAAATATTAATATTAATACATACTACGATTTGTAAATTTCTATAAATTACGATTTCATTATAATCAAATAGAAATTTTATTAGAAATTCTTCAATATACAAAAAATTAGCTTAGCTATAAAAAAAGAAAAATAAAAATTTTAAAAAATTTCGATTGAAATATTCCAGAAGAATAACTATCAAACCTAATGCAAGATAAAATTATGTTTGTTTCTATTTGAATTCAATTACGTTTTTCATTCGAAGCTGTAAGTGGATTGTAGTATTTTCAAGCATCATACTCGATAATATTTTTCTGTTTTCCTAGTGGAAATATTATGGTTTTAAATTCTTTTTATTATGATATCACACTCCTGTAATTACAATGATAATTTCAGTACATTCTTATTAATAATTCCATTATCAGCTTTTTGTGTTTTATTCATAATATATTAAAGCCATCTTCTTTGTTTTTTGTTGTTATATTTTTGGGCGTTATAAATTAAGATCAAAACAATTAGAAAAATTATATATAAAATCAGGATGAAAGAAATCGAACATATAACGAAAATTGTGTTCTTTTCCGAAATTATTTTTCAAATTGAACTTTTCGGTAATAAATAACCAACGTTTTCGAGATAAATCCGAAGAACATTAATATTAACCTTCTTTATTCATACAAAATTTAGTTTAGTATCCTGTAAATCGCACCTGTAATAAAAATACATAAATATATTAGCAACTTATATGAAATCACACTCAAATAAATGTGAGTTAATTTCAATGAATACCGCAATAATTCCACAAATTTCTGTAATTTTAAATATCGAAACTAAATCTTGGAAATTATTAGAATAATATTCGTTAACAGTGAAATATAAAAATTCTTTGTAAAAGAACTTGTTTCATAGCGCCAATTATTTATGGTGTTAAGATATAATATTATAACCTAATTAGGTTTTCCTAATGACTATATTAAATTTTTTTAAATATTTTTTTTTTAAATTGTGGTTATCATTGTAATATTATGAACATTCTAATAAATAATGCATATATTTGTATGAATGTTATAGAAATGCAAAAAGTTCAAAATTGATTTTGTATAAATTTTTTAATTTTAAACATATTTGTGAATTCTATTGAAAGAATAATTATGCGAATTATAATTTATTTGGAGTACCATGGATGGAAATTATAGAAACAAAAAATTCAATTGAATTTATTTTATTATGATTCGTTAGTCAGAATAATATTGTTAATAATGTTATTGTTTATACAATATTTAGCCTTAAAAATAAAAGAAATAAGAAAATTCATAATCGAATTATTTTCAATGAAAAAATTATAAAGACTATTGCTAGAATAATCGTACTAGTTGTAATTTTAGTAAATTTTAACACAATTGAATCAATAAAATTCTGTAACATTCTGAATTTTCTAATTTCAATAAATTTTATGTTTTATGTGTTCACTAAAGTAAAGTAAAATAATAATTCAAAAATTTCAGAATGAAAAGAAATTTTGGAATGATATTAGTTTCTGCAGTATTTCTAATATTTTGAAAATTGTTTACAACGCCTTTTTTTATTATTTAACTATAGTTTGACAACAAAATATCTATATTAAAACTTATTCAAAAATTTCCATAAAATACACTCATTTTTCATAATAATCACCAAGTATTTTAATATTGAATTAAATTTAATCTTGAAATTAATTTTAATGTTTCTTATAAAAAAAAAATAAAAACAAAAAAATTTAATGGTAACACTCTTGTCATTAAGAATTTATATATAATTTAATTATATACGATTTTATAACATAATATCAAAATGTAGAATAAATTGTTTAAAATAAATTTTTTGCTTGCACCAAAAATTTGTAATACATAATATGAAATATACAATGCGACATTTCATAGCAATTAATTCTTATAACATAAAATATACATTTTTCATATATATACTATGGTTTTATTATGTATACATAGGTAATAAAATTTTTGAAATTATTCTATTGAATATTTTACATTATTATTTAAAACAAGTTTAAAATAGGAAAATCTTTTAAATTATATATTAGTATAAAATTATACTAATAGCCTATAAAATTTCTAAATAATAAATTAATAAATTTTAAATTTAAAATGTTATATTATTTCTCCTGCACTTATTGTATACAAATGTATATATACATTTAAAATATTTAAATATATTGAATATTGCACATAAATATACCTTGAGCATTTTGTAAAGAAAATTTAAATATTACAATATTTATGTATTTATTATACAAATGAATAATTAATAATACTGAACATGACTTAGTATATAATATAAATTTTAAAATATTATACAAAAAATATATTTGCTATATTATATTAAAACAATAATAAAAATAATATTAAAAATATCCAGAAAATATAGAGGAATTTTAAGATTAAAAATTTATTCAAAAATTAATTACACGCTTTTTAGAGCTTAAAATTAAAATTTATACATTTTGAATATAGTTACAATAAAATATACAAATAAGTATAATTGAATTTAATAATAACGTTATTTCAATTCAATGTTAAAGGATTTAAATTTATGAATAACATATATATGTATATTATATAAAACATATCGTTTAAATAATAAAATTGATATAAAGTTGACCGATCAAAAACAATATGTAAATTAAATATTGAAATAAGCAAATTTTTTATTTTTATTTTATTTCTATTCAACTTTTTTATTTGATTTCTAAAATGAAAGATTAAATGGATTTTTAAAACAGAATTATTGTTATATTCATATAACTAAATTCTTATCCTGTAAATTATTCTGAATAAAAAATTATAGTTACCAGTTAAGTGCAAGTATAGTTTCTTCACTACATATTAAACTTTAAAAATTTTCTTAATTGGAAGTTAAGAACTGATGACTGCAATATAACAACTTTAATAAACAAAATTTTTATGAAAATTTGAAAATTATTGCACGAAAAATTACGATATAAAATGAGGCATTTTTAAATAAATTTGAAATAAGTACAATTTTACGTATAGTACAAAATAAGTGCACATTATTTTTTTATTAAACCAAAAAAATGAAAAATTGTGAATAAAATTCTTTTCCATTCCCACTGTAAGTATACCATAAATTCATTATATTTTAAATTACCATAATAATTTATAAATAAAATGTAAATGTCATCAAATTACAAAAACTTTGACAAAAAAAAAAAAAAAATAAAAAAAATTATACAAGTATTTATTGTACGTTATAAATTTCATTATTAAAAAAACAAAAAGGGAAATTTTTTTTTGTTCCTGAAATTATGCAATAATTTAAAAAATTTCTTTGCGATAAATTTATTTATACATGCACATTATTCCAATAGCTACATTGTAACAATGGTTTTAATTATAAAGGTATACAAAAGTGGTTTTTTATTTAAATATTTTTGATATTTTATTTAATTTAACCTCAAAAAATTTTAACACATTTTATACAAATAAAATACGTACATATTATTGTATAATATACTGTATGTATATTATAATTGTATACAACGACATAGTTAATGGGGAAAGTGGAAAAAAGAAATTTGTTTATTTTTATTATTTTTAAGGTGAAAATCATAATATTTTGTACATTTTAATTACAATGTGATATTGGACACCTTTAATGTAAAATATATAAGAGGATATGTCGTACATTGGGAAGAATAACGACACAACTCAAAAATATAACTGTGATTTCCGAAATTTAAAATGAGGGACTCAGTGCATTAGTGGTCTATCCAATATTTTTGCAAAATTGATTTATTAGTATAAATAGATCTGTATAATGGCCTTAACAATTATTTTATATTTCCGAAACACTTAATATACTTCTCTATATTGATATAAGTTTGTTTTCCTTTTAAAAATTTGCTTAAAAATTAAGTATTTAAAATTTCAATCGCAATTTACTCGAAATATCATTTTTGCAAGTAGGTGACTAATGCGATGAGCGCCTCATATAGCTAATTGTAAATTACTATCGAAATCTAAAATGTATTATTTTGTTGCAGAAAGGCTTTCTATAATAGCAATAGAAGCAAGATTGCGACTCTACATTTTGACTTATGTCATTGTTCTCGCAAGTATGCGATGTATAGATGCGTTTATATAATAATTTATATAAGAGTATATGAAATAAGTATGGAAATTGTTATGTATTTGCTTACTTATGCAAGTATATTTAAATTCATTTCATATTATGATACGTAAAAGAATCTGAGAAATGGCCTCATATTCCACATTAATCAATTTGTTTAATAAAATTTTGTATATTCTTTTTTTAATTTATTACGTATTTTTTTCTAATATAATTATGGTAAAATTCAATTAAATAGTTTTGACTATAAAGAAACTTAATTAGTATAAAATAAAAAATGAGGATTTAATTTTTTTTTTGTCGTTTCTTTCTATACTGTCTTATATAACTAATATAACTTTTTTTTATAAACGAATTATGGCATAAAATTAAAGAATATCTCATAATTATGCACTAAATTGCAATTTTAAGTTTATGAAGTTGCATAAATTTATTAAATTATTCAGATTATTTTTTTCATTTTTCGCATTTCTTTTCTTATTATTATATTCTTTAGCGAATTATTTTTAAATCGAATTTTTCGGGGTGACCTTTTAATTCTTATCTCTAAGAGCTAGAACATAAATTCAAGAGGAAAGTAATTTTTCTTTTTCTACATTTCTTTTTTCTTTTGTTTTTGTTCTTTAAAATAAGAAATTAGTTAAACATTATTCATTTTGTTTTCTGAGTTTATACAAAAAATATTTGGCAAGATGTAAAATTTCATAGAATAAGATCGGAGAAAAAGATAAGTGAAAATTTCAAAATTTGAAATTTATTTATGCAAATTTTGTAAGAATTTTATTAGAAATTTTGCTTAAATTTCATTTTAAAATTTTCAGTATTGGTAATTAAAATTTTGCTTATTAAAGTTTAAGCAGCCTAAAAAAAATATTCCCGAACTGAATATTAATGAAATATAGATGGTTGTTTTTGCTCGAAAAACCAAATCATTTTTGTATATTATCTACATTATATAATGAATTTTGATAAGAACTCAATTTTAAGGATAAAAAGGAATTTTTTCTTTAATACTACCAATTTTTTACTATTCACATATTTTTATTCCAATCCAATTGCTTACCGTAAGTAGGAACTTGTGCAAGGACCATTTAATTGCATAAAAAGTGGGAAAAAAAATGTTTTCTCAAATAACTTCTGACTTTAATAAAGAAAAAACTTTTCTGAGAGAAAAAGTTCTTCGAAATTTATTCCATATTTTCCTTACGTTTTTCTTTTTGTTTTCATTCCTTGACTTGGTTTTATTTTTAATTTTCTTTTTTTTTTATTTTCCTTAAAAACACTGAAAAACTCTTCGTAATATAATATAGTTTTAACAAAATATTCCATATAAAGAGCAAAGAAACGAAATCTATTCAAGAAAATTAATTAAAAGAAAATATTTTGAGAAGAAAATTAATCTGAGAAGAAATAAGAGAGAAAAAAATATGGTGAAAAAAAAAAAAATAAGAAAAAGAAAAAGCGGAGCAAATGAGATAACAATATTCTTGTCTTGGTTAGTATTTCTTACGTTAATTTTTTCTCTTGCATTTATTTTTCTTATTTTCTTTCTCTTATTTTATAGAATTTAGTCGCGCTTCTAGAGAAATTATTTAAATCTGTTAATGGAAAAGAGAATAAGAATAAAAAGTCTTTAAAACTTTTTTGGAGACATATCAATAATCCAATTAGTGTTCTGTATATAATCATTATTAATTCGTATATTCTTTAATAGTTATATATGAATATAACTATTCGTAAATACTTGAAATAATTTCAACAATAACTTAACTAGAAGCTAGTAATATTTTGTAATACATAATTATGTTTAAATATAACTTCATTTAATATTACTTACATTGGTTAATAGCGCTAATAATTAAGATGAAAAATTATTGGTATTTGCATTGAGATTTTTGCAATATATTTTCAAGGGGTTCATATATAAGTATATTATAAAATTAAAATTATTTCTGATTAATAATTAAAATCAAGCTAATTATCAATTAAAATAACAATTTTGTTATAAATATAGCCAATTATCACACTTAGTTAATGATAATTAGAATTTTTCTTATAGTAATATAATAATACAAAGGTAATTGATATCAAAGCATGAATATTAAATTTCGAATTTGATAAAAAAAACACTTCTTCACTCATCTCATATTGGCTTGCTTAATAATCTACTCTAATGTCTGAAAACTTGGTTATATCAACTTGTATTTTCAGATTTATAATAAAATTTTTTCCAAGAACAAATCCTGGAAATCCTTTTTCCAAATATATTCTAAAAAATTATTTTTGTATTTAATTTCAAATTGAGGTTTTAAAAAATAATTTTTTAAGCTAAAAATTTAAGAATTTTCAGAATAAATTCATATGACTATTCCATTACAAATTCATAGTTCTATAATTTCGTTACTAACTTCTTATATACGCAAAGACAGGCAAATTTCCATTCTTTTCCAATTATTTTATTAATTATACTCAAATTAACACTAAATATATTTTCTCATTATGATTATTTAATGTTATTCCTCCTATTAACGTAAATTAACGGGAAGTAGTAATACAAGGGCATTTTTATATAAAAAATTTAAAATAAGTCCAAATGCAATTAAATGAAATTGAAATGCAAACTGTAGTTAATATTTTAAACACTTGAATTCAATTTGAATTTTTTTATTTAAAAAAAAAAATAAGTCTTTGTTCTTTAATGCGATAATAAAATAATAATTAATTTTTGAATCACTCTTTTGACATTCACCGACCATACTAAAGAAGCCTTTAAAATTTCATAAAAATTACAAAACTTATTTTACCAACTATTTCAATTCAAAAATTTTTGAATAAATTGTAAAAATGCAATTATATTTTATTTTATTATTTTTATTATTTTTTTTTCCCTAACTTTAATGAATTAACAATAAACTTAATTGTAAACCAAACAAATTGTAAATTATTTCTACTAAATATTTTAAAAATAAATTTTTACTTATATTTAGTTTTCTTTTTGTTTTGTTGCTCTTTGGCTGACACAGAACTAAAATTACTTTTATTCAAAAAAAAAAAATTAAATTATATACTAAATATATGAAATAATAACAATAATAATGAAAAAACACAATTTTCATATATTTTAGAAACTTTTTTTGTGCAATTAAAAGAAACTTTACCAAATAATCTGAGATACAATTAAAAAAAATAAAATTCATTTTAAAATAGAATTAAATTCAAATGAAACAAAAAAACAAAAAAAAATTTCCTAAATATTTTATACACTTTCCCCCCCCCCCCCCCTTTTTCATTTCTGAGAAAAGTTAATGCAATAAAACCAAAAATAAATTTGATTCACCAAATTTTGTGGTGAATCTTTTTTTTTATATTTTGTTTTGTCCACAGTTACAAAAAAAAAAATAAAAATAAAAATCCTTTTCTCCACATATATCTTCTCTTTCCCTCTCTCTCTCTCTCTCTCTCTTTTCACCTCTCTCCGTATCCTCTCATGATCGTATATTATTTTATTCAAATTAATATTCGAAAATTTATCTAAACTTGTATAACACAAAAAAAAAAATAAAAATAAAAATAAAAATTAAAAGTTCCAAACACAAAACCAAAAAAAAAAAAAAGAATAAATAAAAAATGATACCTTGTAAAGTCCCTTTCATTCTATATAGGGAAAACTCTAATAAATTTAAGTAGGCGCCTAAGGATCTGTTTTTATATCGTACTTTATTCACATTTATTTTCAACAGCAAAAAAAAAAAAAAAATTTTTTTTTCTTTGTCTGTGAATATTTTCTAACCATTTTTTTTTTTCTCTTTTACTTCAAAACATTTCTATAATTGTTTACATTTCTACATAAAAATAATTCATATATACATACATTTATAATGGTGTACATTAATATACATAACGATAATAAAATTTTAATTTTTTTTTTTTTTGTGCTTTTTATTATTACAGAACAAGTGGAAGACTATCTGAAAATATTTATAAATTTGTTGCTGAACCAAGTCACAATAAAAAAATATTCAGGTGTGAAGCAAACAATGTTATGTCACCAAAACCTTTAAGTGCTGAAGTAGAGTTAACAGTTTTATGTAAGTATTATATTTATAAGTAACGTGGAAACACAAAAAAAACAAAATCTAAATGAAAGTGTGTAAAAAATGAAAAAGAATAACAAAAACGAAGAAACCATTGAAAGGAATAGAATTGAGTTAGATAGAAACCAGGAAAAAAAAATTTGGAAAAATTTTTACATAATTTACTTGAAAAAAAAAATATGAAAATAAAGTACTAAAATATTTTTTTTTTTCTGCAACATTTAAAGGAATTTAATTAAAATGTCTTGTCATTTTTTTACTTATTTTATATTCACGTTAGACTTTCGGTTTCTATTAATTTTTTGGATTCGTTCGATATATTTTCAGTTGATATTTTAATTTTTGTATTCTAAGCTTCTCAAATTTTTACAATTTTTTTATATCTTTCTGCTTTATAATTTATTCTCTTTTTTTTTTTAACAATTCTGTTCATTCTAACTTCGAAATATTTTGAAAATTATCACTCACTTTCTCTTTTCTGAGTAAGCCTTTAAGAAATTAAAATTTTGTGTTTTAGGTATCGGAAATCACCAGTAATGGGTTAAACACATATTTTGCATGTTGCATTAGGTCTTAAAATATTTTAAAATATTGAAGTAGTTTCACACATATTTTAAATTTTCCCTTTTATTATTGTATAATTAAGTACCACACGTTGAATTAAGAGTAAAGCTTAGTTTTCTAAATGAACTTAAATTTTTAAAGCAAATTGAATGAATAATTTCAAACTAATCATAAAATATGTATCTAGAAATCGTTTTTATATTTTAATATCTGAATATCCTTGTATACTTTCGAAAAAATAACAGAATTTACTTTAAAAAAAAAAAAGAAAATTATAAGGTTAATCAAGAATATTTAAGATACACGTGCGCTCACATGAGTGTAAATAAATTCATTAAATTACTTGAGTTTTTCAAAGGATTGTTTTTAAGTTTTCAAAATTTTTTTTTATTATTTATTTTTTGCTTCCGAAATTAATATTCTCTTGATTAAGTTCTGAAAAAGGAACATGCATGTGTGTAACTGTATGGTTTTTTATTAAACTGGAAACACAAACAAATCATATCAATCAAAAGAAAAATATCAAATAAGAAAAAAAAAAAAAAATCAATTGAATTTTAATTTAAAATGTTGAAATCCTCAAGAAAATTATGTTTAGCTAGAATATAAGAGTACAATTAAATTAAATATGAAATAATTTGAAAAATTTTCTTTTTTGTTTTTCTTGTTTGTGCTTAATAAATAAATTTTTCTTAAATTAATAAAAAAAATTTATAAATTTATGAAATTCTTTTTTTGTAAAATAGATTTTTTAAAATTGATAAATAAAAAAATAGCAATATTTTACGAAAAAAAAAATAATAATAATAATAATTTGCGATCCTTTTGATTATCAAGATTCACAACCCCTGACTTACATAACATCTCTCCTCCTTTGTTTCTCTTTTATCACTTTATACATTTTTGATTGAAATATTTTGTATGTATACCTGGTGTTAGTTACCATATTAATCCCATTGAAAATTCTATATAAGATTTCATTCTTTTTCACTTTATTGTTGCCCTGTGTTGCTCTCATACTGAATCTGTTATCCTTTTTTGTTTTCATTTCTTTGTTTTTTGTTGTTTTTTTATTCTTCTCTTAAAAATATTATTATAACGATGAAATTGCTATTCATATATTTTTTTTTTCTACACAAAATCATATTATACAAAATTCTATACATATTTCTATTTTGATCGTGTAGTAATACTGGTTACTTTTCAAGGACCTTTCCGAAAAAAAAGAAAAAAAATTGAAATGAAAATAAATAAAAAAACGAAAACGAAAAAAAATAAAACAAAAAAAAAAATAGAAAAATATGATAATTTTTTTCAAGAGTTTAAAAGGTTTACCAAGGATAAAAATCAAACGAAAGAACAGGAATGAAAAACAAAAATAAAAAAAAAACAACAAAAATAGAAAAAGAAATGAAAAAATATTTATACTCTCATATTACAAGATGTAAAATGAATAAATGAAGTCATGCCTAGAGGGAAAATAATATAGAAACAAACAACAACAATAAGAGCAGCAGCAGCAGCAGCAGTAATAGTTACATTTACAACAATAAGGATAACACGTTTAAAAACATAAGAATTTTAAGATAGAAAAATTACAAAAACATCATATTAGACAAAAGTATAGAGCAAAGAAGCTCCAACAAAACAAAAATTAAGAGAGAAACAATCCCAAAATAGATCATTTATGAGTTTTGCTCTTCTTTTAATTTTCTTTGTTTCAAAAAAAAAAAAGGACATTCTTTTGCCTTGATTTAGAAATATGCAACAACAAAATGATAGAAAAAATAGAAAAAAGAAATTATGTATAATGTATCGTTGTTTAATATAAAAGCAAAAAAAAAGAAAAGAGAAAGCAAAACAAAAAGAAGAGATTTTGAATTTTTTGCATATATATATATATAGATCATTTATCAACATGTTGTTTTCATGAGGGTCAAATTTAGTATAAAATATATTTTTAATTTCATATAACATATACCTAAAAATCTATACAGGATGAGCCACGCTTTAACCTTCACTTAATATTAAAGTTACAATATTAGTAAAATTTTATGAAATCAATCAGAAAATATTTATCTGAACATAAAACTATATATATATATATATATATATATATATATATATATATGAATTCTATGTATAATTATAGACATACCTAATTATTAAAAATATGTACATTTTTATCGAAATAAAAGCCTACGATATACGTCTATATTTTATATATTATTCAAACACGTGTGCGCATTTTCAAGAACAATTTGTACATAATATGTACATATATTTCATAAAATATTTAATTATACATTTTTTTAGACATACACTTTTTTTTAGACATACTTTACTTACTTGAAATGAAATAATTAAAAAATATAAGGACATATTCCTTTTTTTCTTGTCTACATTACTCAATCATGCTGAATTTATCTATTAATTAATACTACAATTAAATATTTAATATAGATATAGAAGTATATAATTGATAGACCTGGTAAATACTTGTGCAAGTTCATAGACCTCGTAATTATATATGTATATATATGTCTGGATAAGATGGAAAGTTCTACTTTTGTAATAATTTTTGTGCTCACTTGAATTTTTTCTTTAATAATTTTTTCCTCTATCATATAAGATTTCTTACTGAAATTGAAGAAACTTTTACGAACCTGAGTAACTACCATTTTGCAATTTCAAATTCAATTGCTTTTATATTTTAATTTTTGCATTCTAAGCTTCTCAAATTTTTACAAATTTACTCTATTATTGTATAATATCTCTCGATTTTTATTATATTATATTTCTACGATAAAAACCATTATACTTATATTAATTAATTTAATACAACGAAAAAAATATTGGAAATTAATACTACACCTAAATATTTATAAGCACGATTAAGTTTTACTTTTTTTTCAAATAAACCTTTCTTTCTTTTTTTTTGTAATTAATACATAATATTGTTTTGAAGGCAACCAATTTAGAATTATATAGATTTCGTTTTTTAGATTATTGAAATCACTTCACTGAATTATTTTTTTCAATTAAATAAATCTTATTTCTTACTAATTATTGGAATGAATAGATTATGTAATAACATAAAAATATTAGAGATTCTATAGTGTTTACTGAGAAATCAAATGATCAAAGAATTTAATTAGCTATCTCTTATGAATCTATAAAAATATTTGAAAACAATTTTATTAAAATATTTTTATTCAATCAATTTAATTTATTTAAATTCGCTTATTTTATTTTAAATTCAATTTGATTAGTTATAAATAAATTAATATATATTATATACCGCTCATAAAACAATTATATTATGTGTTATACTATTGGATTCTCTGTAGTACACGACTTGGTGTTCTTGTTATTGAAAAATTATAAGTTGGATTTATAAGCCTTGCGTACAGATTCGTATATATACTAGAGTAGGTAGTATTCTTAAAAATTTATTGAAATCATCCTGTATTTTTTAAGTAGAATTTAGTTATCTTGAATTATAGATTAAATAAATATATTTATAAAATATACAGGCATATATACATATTAGATAAATATATACTTGTACGTAAAATCCTTATTTTTTTTTTAAATAATATTTTCAATAAACAAGATATATAACATTGTGTGTTTATCATATATGCATACACATAATATATGTGTTACATAATATGTATGAAAACATGTAGTCAAAGGTGCATTATTAAGATGATAGAGAAAAAAATAATATATTTTTTAACAAAAAACAAAAAAGGATTTAAGGATTTTTTTCTTAACAACATTCTCTCATTTTTATAAAATCATTATTCACTATTTAGAATATATTTAAAATTTTTTAAGAACTTCCTTTTTACGGACCACATTTCATACCATAAGGAAGGTTATGTGATGGCCTCAAATTTTGGAGGTTGAATTATTGCCAGAAATGCCTTTCTCCACGCTAGGGATTTATATGCGTTTCTCCATGTAAATAAACTTTTTTTTGAGAGATGTATGTCTATCTGTTGGTACAAAATATTTTATATTTATTTGGCCAAAAATTAAATAATTATAAAACACTTTGCTACTAATTTTTTAGTCCTACTTGGGTCTTTCAACTTTGACGGCCATCTCTAAATGAAAAATTTCAATACACTCAACAAAAATTCTCAACAAAAATATTGAAGTTATACTTAACAACTTGTGCCACATTATGCGTATATCTCACTTATTGACGCATGGTTGCAAACAAAATCGAAACAGAAGTGCTTTCTTTATAAATGTTCAAAATTCCTGATATTAAGAATTTTGATATTCCTGATTGCTTCTTGTCTACATGAAAATCAATTTTAAATGTTCCCCCATCATTATTTATATAAAAATATTTAAGGAGCACACATACACGTATACATACTTAAAATATAGCATAATTATAAAAGTATCCTATA